TGGCTGGCGCCTTAGCCACTTGAGCCACAGGCGCCCAGCCAGCCCAGCAGATTTTATTGGGACGGACTGTGTGCCATGCTTTGTGCTGAATGGAAGGTACGGATCAGAAAGTTTCCAAGTTCGGTGGCAGCCTTGAGGTGGAGAGATTGGACTCTTTTTTGGTTCTTTGGTCCACAGATGTCTGAGATGATTGTTGTACCCAGTCAGGGTTCTTGGTTACAAATGACAGAATTCAACCCTAGGTAAATGTAAGCAGAAAATGACTTCATTGGAAGACTGTGAGGTATAGAATTCACAGGAGGCTGGGAATCCATGCCTGGAGAATAGGCCCTCTTTATCTAGAGTACCATCCCTACTTAGTTGCCTGTGGTTTCATTGTTATAGATAGTGTCTGGGAGCAACCAGGAGGTGCCCATCCTAGAGAAGTAGGAAAAAGGAAATTAAGTCATCTTCTGAGAGTAAAGCTGCTCCTTCACTTTGCAAACTTTGTTTCTTTAATGTCCTTCTCACCAGACTGAAAGCTCAATGAGGGCAGGGACAAATGTCAGTATTGTTCACTTTGGTGACCGCAGGGCTTAGAACAAAGGCTGGCATTTCATGGGTGCTTAGTAGAAGTGTGGTCTGTTTGACTGAACATAAACCTCTAATATTTTAAAGTAGCAATGTGCCAACTTACCTGAAGGAGACAATAACAGCCCAAGTCTAGACTATAACATGTTTATTTTTTATTTTTATTTATTTATTTGTTTATTTATTTATGATAGAGCCTAACTTTGTTGCCCTTGGTAGAGTGCTGTTGAGTCATCGCTTACAGCAACCTCAAACTCTTGGGCTTAAGCGATCATCTTTTTTTTTTTTGTAGCCCTCAGTACAATGAGGCATGGAGTCATAGCTCACAGCTATGAGTACTATGAGCCATGGCATCATAGCTCACAGCAACTTCAAACTCTTGGGCTTAAACCATCATTTTGCCTCAGCCTCCTGAGTAGCTGAGACTATAGGTGCCCACCAAATGCCCAGCTATTTTTCTTAGAAACAGGGTATTGCTTTTGCTCAGGCTGGTCTCAAACTTGTGAGCTCAAGTTATCCACCCGTCTTGGCCTCCCAGACCAGAGTGCTAGGATTACAGGCATGAGCCACCACACCCTGCCTATAACATGTTTAAAGGTGTTAATACAGCTAAAGAAAGAAGGGGCCACTCAGGAGGGTCTGGGCAGTCAAGGAAGCCAGAGATCAAGGAGAGTTGCCAAGGAATTCACCAGCAGTGCCCATCCTCTGGGGACAAAGGTGGTGGTCCAGGAACAGAGAAGATATTCTTTGAAGCCACCTGATTTACACACACACACACCCCTAACTCATGGTCTGGATCACCAGCAACTCTTTGAAACCTATTCTGTTCCCCCACGTCGATCTGCCCACAGGGAGAGAATGCACTCATCATTCACAGGAAGAACCAGTCTGCTTCAAAGCGCTGCTTCCCCTTATAAATTAATGAATTGGCATCTGATTTGAAATATCAGTCTCATGAGCCTGGTTAAAGTGTGTCTTTTCCATAGAGATGCTGCAGCTTTTAGGGCTAACAGCTCTGGTTTCTGAGCTAATGTCTGAACCCAGAATGGTGATGAATTCACCAAGGTAACAAATGATACCCTAGGGACTTTCAATTTTTGTGCAATTTTTATTTTCTTTATTCTTCTTAAAACACATCTTTAATCAAAGTAATACATGTATGTCATTTTTAAAAAATCAACTTAGGCATTTGGCAAGGTTTTAAAAAAGGCAGTCTTTTTCCCTGTCCTCCCTCCTCACCTGATTCCACCTCCTCAAGGCAATCATTGTTTTAGCTGTTCTTTGTCCCTCATATTTCATCCTATATTTTGACCAATACCGACAGATAATCCATTTTTTCCTGACTTAAAATTTTCAAAAATTTCATTCCTACAATAGAAGGCGAAGATATAGCTCTTATATTTCCCCCACCCCCATACTTGGTCTGCCCTATTCTACCAATAGAATTGTTGGTAGTTTCGTTTTGTTTTTGAGACAGAGTTCTCCACTCACCCTGAGTGGAATGCCATGTCATCATGGCTCACAGCAACTCAGTTCTTGGGCTCAAGTGATCCTCTTGCCTTAGCCTCCCAAGTAGCTGAGACTACAGGCATGCTCTCCCAGCCTGGCTAGTTTTGCTTTTTTTTTTTTTTTCTTCTCCAGACAGAGTCTCATTATGTTGCCCTCTGTAGAGTACTGTTACATCACAGCTTACAGCAATCTCAAACTCTTGGGCT